ATTTTCTATTATATTAAAAATTTTATATATTAATTAAAAATAGTTATTTTAAATAAGTATAGTTATTATAAAATTAATATAGTATAAAACGTTATAAACTATTCGGGCCCTGTTTAAGCTAAAGAGGGCTCCTTTTAGTTAGCTTTTTATTATTTAGTAATAGAGGGTTAAGATTTAGCTTTTATTTAATATTAAACTTACTTCTTAAGAGTACTATTTTTATATTTAGTTGACCTGCCTGTTATAGATTTAAGAAGATTATAACCTCTGAGTATTATTTTTATAGGACTATTCAGCGGAGATGAATATAAAAGGAGTATATATAGTTATTTAGAAGTTTAAAGATATATTTTAATTAAATATCCCGAAATATAATATAAATTTTTTTTTAAAGTGGCCTCTGTATAAACTTATTATGTATAATATAATTAATATGAAGGCGGCTAAATTTAAAAATATTTATAAACGCAATATTTTATCCTAATATTAATAACGTACGCGATATAAATAGCTTTTATATTACTATTTTATAAAGAAGTTACGTAGGACTTATTATTTTATTTAATATAAGCTTTTTCGAGTACTTTTACTTATTAACTTATTATTTTTTAAAGTCTAATTTATAAAAATAGTATAAAGATAATTTTTATAACCCTATTTTATAAATAGTTAACGGATCGGGGTTATATACGTACGTAGTCGTTAAGATAGTAGTATATAATACGTTTTACGAAAGTAAAATAAACGGTTAAAAAATAAGTATAGTTAATTAAATTAGTAAACGTTTTAAAAGGGCAGTAACAATAACTCACCGCTTTTATGAAAAACTTATATATTAACTTAAACAAAACCTATAAGTTCTAATCTACCGAGAGGTGAATCGTAAAATTATTATGCTATTTAAAATAAAATAAGGAAGGCTAAGCGCTTAAGGTTAGTAGAACGGGCCGTAACGGGCGGACGACGCTAGTAAGACTATAATTCGCCAAGGCCAAGGAATAGGCGGGTTAGACCAGTAATAGTTAGCGATAGGCTAGGAAGAATAGCAAAACGTAAAAGTTATTAGCCAGCAACGTCAATAAGACCGGCAAAGCTTAAAGATTATACTAAGCGAGCTAATAAGGCGATAGTCGGAAATTAAAGAAAGCTAGCAACGCTAGCAAGGCTAGTAACGCTAGCAAGGCTAGTAACGCTAGTAACATTAGCAACGCTAGTAATGCTAGCAACGCTAGCAAGAACAAAACGCTAGGGCTAGTAAAAATAGCTAATAATAATAAAAAGGTTATAATAAAGCCTTATCCTATATAACGCTTAGCCTATTAAGGCAAAAAATCTATTTATATAAATATAATATGCTTTATTATCTTATATATATTATGGGATAAGAAAACGGTATAAATCTTATTTTATTGTTAAGTTTAGAAGCGATAAAAGTTGTGTGCCTTGCGAAGACGAGGCTTTATTATTTTTAAGGTTTTAGTTATAAATAAGATTTTTAGTTAGCTGCTTAGTCTTTAAAATAGCTTTTAGTTTTATTTAGGTATATTAGGCGTTTTTAAAATGTATTTAGAATAGTTAAATTAATTTTATAATACTTTTAGTAGTATAAAACCCTAAGTCCTAGGACTAATATATTTTTAATTTTCTTTTTTATTTTATCTATTCTTATTTTAGTTACTTTTATTACTTATTTTTTTTGGGATCTTATTTATTTATTTTTTGTTTTATCTTATTATTTATTTATAAGTAAAGATATTATTATTATTATAATAGTACGCGCGAAGAGGGTTCTTAATATCTATATTCTTTGGAAAAGCCTTAGTTATGTTAATATAGTTGCGTTTAAATATCGGGCTTTTTATAATTAAGTAGAAGCCTTTTGGGCATCGTTTTAAATTACTAAGGGTCGATAGGGAAGTAAGCTTTTTGTATAGAAGCGAGATTATAAAGCTCTCCGCGAAAAGAGCTTCCGCTTTTTAAAATAAAATAAAACGGGGCTTAGGTTTTAGTTAAGTAAAAATACGCCGTTAGGCTATCGACTTAAGTATTTAGTTGACGGAATAAGGTTTATGAAATCGATAGTGGGCAAGAGAGTCTACTTAGTGCTAATAATAGTAAAGAATTTAGGATCTTATAACTTAATTATTTTAGAGAATTAATCTTTAACATAAAACTAAATATAATACGAAATTTCCTTCGGTCGGAGAAATACCTCGGTGGGGCATCCGGTTAGTTTTATATTTTCGATATTATAATACGATATGCTAAGGGGCATCGTAATAACATTAAAATTTATAATCTTTATCGTTTAACCTATTAAGTTTATGAGAACTTAAGCTCTTATTATACTTTTTAGGTTCCGAATGGCTTTATCTTAAATAAGTCCGTTAGAAGGCTTGAGGCTGAGCTGCCTATGACTTTGAAGTTAATTTATAAGACGTATTACTAATTTATAATTATAGCTAGACGGTATTATAACTTAATATTTGTTTGTTATAGGAGCGAGATAGAGTTTTAAAAGATAATAAAACGTTTACGTATAATGCTATATAAATATTAGAATAAGTAGTAGGATTTTAAAGAAGGATCTAGATATTATATTATTATAGGACGGATAGAGATTAGGGTATTGCGTACGGACTAAAATTTATATTGGGGGGTCTTTCTTTTTAACTCTTTCGTTTTTCTTTAATTAAACAATTATTTAAGGAAATTCTGTTTCTTTAGATTTTAATTAAACTATTTACGATAGAAAGAGTTATTTTTTATATAAACTTTGCTATCCGGGCGATAGTTTCTAGTTAACCGGGCGATCGCTTACTTGTTTTATTTGGCTAATTAGACTATTAGGCTTAGTTGTGTAAAATCGATTAACTTTATATTTGATAACTTTAGTGTTTACGTATAATGAACCGTCGTAGGCAAAGGTACGTTAGCGAGTTTAACTGATATTAATTGCCTATTTAGCTAATTATAAAGTTAAAATGATTAAAGAGTAGGATATTTAATACCGCTTAGTTAGCTAGAAACTACTGCTTAGATAGCAATATCTTCTGCATATACTAGACGTACTATATACTTTTAAATTAAATATAATATTTTAGGAATTATAAGGCTAAAAATAGTATATAATATTTAATACAAAAATGCTTATATCCTATAGCTCGTTCGTAATATAAAATTAGAATCGCTTTTAAATTCTTATGTATACCGTTAAAGATCTTAAATTCTTTTAGTAGGTATTTTTATTAAAAAGCGTTTATAGATATAGTTATCTTTTTAGATTTAAATATAATCGTAAGCTTTTTTAAAGTGTTCTGTAAATTCTTTTGTAAACTTTAATGTATTTTATAATTGCTTAGGTTATTATATAAAATCTAAACCTGAATCTAAGTAATCGCGCGTTCGCTTAGCGAGGTCCTTATTAGTGAACTCCTAAGTAGACTCCTTTTTATATAGCTCCTGGGCAGCATTCGAGCCTACTGTGTGTAACGTGGCTTGACTGATGACTTTTATGGGAGGCCCCTCGTCGTTTAGACTCCTTATCTTTCTTAATCGTACCTCCGCTGACTAGGTCGTATGAGGACCTCCGCTGGAGTCGGCATTGGCGTCGAAGTGTCGTCCTCTTTTTGCGTCTGGCTCATCGACAGCGCTACTAGCACGACGTTTGCGAGACGGAGCCACCAATGAGCCAGCCAGGCGATCATTCCTCGACGCAAATTGAACTTGGTCATCCGTGTTGATACCTTCGTAGACAAACTCGGCTGCTTGTGGCATGTTTGAGTCCACTTCAGCGTCTTCCTGCTGCCGTGTATGGAGAGCAATGTGTTCCTATTTCGCTTTCGTCATGGCTCTGGTGACCCGTCCCGCTCTTTTCCAAATCTACAAGGCAGTTAGCAGAGTTCAGGGACAGCCTCCTCCATCGGTTGGACATACTTTTCGACCCTTCTGCAAGGCATTCTGAGATCCTCCTTTCCGAACTTTCGTAGGTTCAATCGGCACCTGCTGATCTGCGAGATCGGAGGAAGGCAAATGGTTCGGGTTCTGTTCGGACCTACACAAGTTCATGTTGTTAATTGCCAATAAATGGGCATGACATCATGTCTCTCCTTACATGTTTGAAGTATGATCTGATTGGTATTCGAGATCTTTGATGGAATTTGTTAGCGGACTTGAGCGGAAGGGCAGCTGCCTTTTATAGGCATCTGACATGAGACCAGCGGAGTACCACGATATCTGCTGCGGTGAAATTAGCGAGCCGTGTCTCAACAATGGGCACCTTGTCTCCGGGCACCCTCCGGAAGTTACTATTCTTGGATAATCTATAAATATATACAGTATAGCCTGTCGAAGTCGTCGTATCCTGCCTGATAAGAGTGGCAAAGGTTCATGTCCCTGCAAACGCACCTTCATGCAGGTCAGGCGCTTATAGTTCCCTGATGCTCCTCCTCGTACGCCTTGGCTGCCTTAGCTGATGGTCAGACGACCGGTCTCTGCATGAAGGCCATGGCTGTGTGTCACTTGCTGTCTTTGTTGGCGCTCGCGGCTTCTCCATGCCCCTGTTGGCGAGACCAGCGAGACCAGCAGGCTAGCGAGACCAGCGGGGTAGCAAGACCAGCGGGCCAGCAAGACCAGCAAGGCCAGCAAGACCCACAAGACCAGCAAGCCAGCGAGACCAGCAGGCTAGCAAGACCAGCGGGCCAGCAAGACCAGCCAGACCAGCCAGACCAGCAAGACCAGCAAGACCAGCGAGCCCTAACAAGGTGGCCAGTAAGGGGCGGATGAGGACATGACTGGACAAATATCTTTCCTTCTAAAGAAATAGCCAGTGATTATGCAATGTTAAAACTTGAACTAATACCGGAAGCTTCTATCTGAGCGGGAAGTTGATTGCTACACTCAGCACTAACCTACTCTTTAACCTGTCTGATAGACGTAAAATAACGATGGACTTTGCTTTTTGAGTCTAAAGCTGAAGCTAAGAGAACAGGTTTAATTGTTCATTTTTTCTTCCGCCTCTCACGGCTAGAATCACCTGCATTATACATAGCCTGCTTGATTTCCACTTGTCTATCCTCCTCTCTCCTCCTTTCCTCCTCTCTCCTTTCCTCCTCTCTCTTTTCTTCTTCTTCCCTCTGCTGTTTCTCTCGTTCCTCCCTCGCTTTTACACGCTTCTCTCGGCTGCTATCGCCTGCAGCTACCATAGCATCCTCGCAATCATCCTGATATTTTCCCTCGCTATCTCGGCTGTTTCGGCTGGCGGACATAGTGAAGGAATATCTCTGCATAAACATTACGAGGATGTATAATGTGACGTCCAAATCAGCACTTACCAGGTTTAATCTGGAACGTTGAAGGCTCCTTAGGTTCAGCTCAGTGTGAGCTAATTGATATTGCGATGCAGAGAGGTAGGTAAAAGCATCACATACGTTTGGGATGCGCCTTTATAGCCTTTATTCAACTACTGAAATCTAGGGCAAAGGATGATAAGAGGAAGGACTTTTTGAACCTCTGAACGCGAACACGTATCCTTCTACTTTAAGCTAATGAGGAAGGTCTTAGTCAACAGCCTAAACGATACAATCCCATGCAACCAACATAGACAGCTGGGATCGTATGATATTACTGAGACTATCAGCTGTAGATGGACTATTCCGGAAGAAAAGGTTGTGCACAAGAGACAATACAGGCGGGTGTTATGAAAGAGTGGGGTAGCATGAGGCACTGATTACATGTGATGGTGTGAAATGGACGCATGGACCCTCTGATAAGGTCGCTTTCCCCGCTCACCCCGCGTCATGGAAGGCAAAAGGCCCTTGTTGTAATGCTGACGTTAGCATGCAATTGTGGTCAATACCGCTAGTCCATCTCGGAATTGGTAAGATAAGAATGCTGACAATGCGCGAGGCGTGATTGTGTGGGTGTTGATGGCTGGTGTTCTTCCTGCCCACTCACTGGTTAGATTCTGCCACGCACGATTTTGGGCGGTGAACTGGAGTATCCACACAGTCTTAATCCTCTGGTTCTCACTCGCCGTTTGTTTTCATCTCCACCGACGAGGTTGGTTCACCACGTCCCGAAGTTCGGCATGGAGACCCGCCAAGACCCTGACAATCTCGCATGGGATCGCAGCGATGCACTATGGGAGGAAGCAACGAAGAAAGCTCGACGCTCATCGCAGTGTCGGAAAATCGAATCGCTGGTTACAGAGGTGTTGGCAAAGCCTGCCACCTTCGTAACTCCATTGGTCTTTGGTGGTTTCAACATCTTGTACCCGTTTCACTTTGAAGGGACTCCCACGAAGATTCTTCTACGAATGCCCTGTCCCGGCCAAACAATTTTCCCTGAAGAGAAGATGCTCGCAGAGGTAGCGACAGCAGGCTTTGTCGCCTCTCATACCGATATCACAGTCCCAACAATTCTTCACCACGGCACCGCGACAGGTATTGGTCCGTACATGATCATCGAAGACCTCGGAACTCGAAAAACCTTGAGTCAGGCCATGCAGGCTCCCTGCCAGACCTTCGAGGACACATTTGTATTGAACCTGGATCTCTCGAACAGCAAACTCAAAAGGCTCTACATCCCAATGGCACGATACCTTTTGCAGCTCGCACAGCCTACGTTCCCACGCATTGGAGCCCTAGCTGAGACAAGACCGGGACTCTTTTGCGTGGCAGGGAGACCGATCACTCTTACGATGAGAAACATGGTCCACCTCTCGAACATTCCCGAGGCAATATTTCCGCCCAAAGGCACCACTTACGGAACCTCTGATGAGTGGCTCACAGTCCTGGCAGAGATGCAACTCGCAACGCTCATCTTCCAACACAACGATATTGTATCTTCGGCCGACGACTGCAGGAACAAATACGTTGCACGTCAGCTATTTCGCAGGTTAGCTAAAGAAGGTCGACTATCAAAATTTGGATTCGTCGAGGACGATTGGTCTGCGATTAGCAAGGAAACCCGTGCGCGGTTGACGATGCCGGATGCAACGGGCTCCTTCCGTCTTTGGTGTGATGACTTTCGGCCGGGAAATGTTCTCATTAACGATAAGCATGATATTCTGGGTGCTATTGATTGGGAGTTTGCTTATATTGGCCCTACGCAGTTCCTTTTGGACTCGCCGTGGTGGCTGCTGCTCGACTCGCCAGAAACTTGGGAGCGGGGTACTGATGATTGGGCGGTTGTATATGAAAGCCGCCTGATGGTATGGTTATCTGCTATGGAGGAGGTGGAGAAAGATATGGAACCAGGAGCCTTCCTCCTCTCAGCGTATATGCGAGATAGTTGGGAGACCGGACGCTTCTGGCTTGATTACGCAGTAAGGAAGAACCTAGCGTTTGATGCTATCTACTGGAAGTTCCTAGACAGGATGTTCTTCGGAGCGTGTTGCCAGGATGTCCCTGCGGAACAAATGTGGAAGACGAGGGTGCACCTCCTCAGCGCACAGGAACAGTCTGCAATGGAGCTACTAGTGCATATCAAGATGGAAGAATCCAAAGAGAGAGTCTTAGTCCAGTGGGATGGCTCAGAGGCAAGGAAACACTTCCAGTCCTTCTTGTTTGATTAGCTACTTTAGACTGTACTAGAGACAGCCGTTGCTAATGAACGTGCTACAGCCATTACTGCATAGCCCGCGACTAAGTTATTTTTCAACCTCTCCGCAGTTATCTAGAAGTTCATCCAGCGCCTTCTGGCGATCCTTGCCCGGCGTGCATACCACAGGCAAAGGGTATTGTTTGCGCTTTGTTATGTGAGCAGTTGCATCTTCCATAAAGAGGTAGGGCACGTACTAACGACGCCTGGCTTCGAGGTAATGTGTCGTCAGATGGATGGCTAATATAGATCCAAATACGTCCCTTGCGTTCGATAAATTTGTAAACCTTGGCATCGCAATCCTGGAATATCCGATCTGCTTTCTGGAACAACGCCTTCTTCCGGTGAGAAAACAAGGTCCCTTTTCTCTTGCTCTCTTTACGTAGGCGCTCGCTGGGCACCGCTGGGATACTACTTGAGGGTTTGGGGGCGTCCTGATGCATTCTGATTGGTTGACCCTTCTTCGTTTTTTCTTCGATTGGAGGGGATTCTTGCGTCCATTTTAGCACCTCGTCTCACGAGGCAATGCGTCTTCGTGGGGTAGCATCATGTTTAGATGTTTTTTTAGATTTTGGAATTTAGTTTGCGGAAAAGTTCAAGCTACGTCAGTGAGGATGTAAGCGCCGAATAACCGATGGGACCGGGCAGTGCCGGTCCATAAGCGCCGGCCGGCTTACGGCCCCTTCCCCGGCTGCCGGCCACTTCTGGGCGCCTAAAGCCCCATAATTTTCCGCCCAACGCCGGATTCGAGATTGGCGCTGCAAATACCGGCCTTGCCAGTAACCTGGCACCACCAATGTGCGAGTCAAACACTGACAGCAACAGCAATCAGTGTTGGTCCGACTGCTAATAACGCGGAATACGTTCTCTGTCTTTACCGTCATAATGGCAAGTCATTAGTCGCTTGACTGGTAGCACCCCTTAAGGCGACATCCTCCTACTAGTAATCTGGCTGGCTCCTGAGACCCTGTGCTAGTAACCAGACGGTTTCCGGGCCTTAGGGTGCTGAGGTGCTATTCCCGGCAAGGTAGTCGGTGTATCAGGCCGAACCTGCCACTAGGCCATACGCCCAAAAGAGAGGTACCCCTCATTGTGGAGAGGCTTTGTACCGGCATATATGGTTCTGACACGGTGCTTAAGACCGTAGGCTAGTAACTTCGCATTTATTCAAATACAGGCCACAGAGAGGAGATAGCCTATTGCCAATAACCTTAAGGCCCTATGTCTTTCTAAGCCACAGTGTACCTCAGCGCTGTTACCACTAAGGATGGCTACCACCAGACCCCGCTGGTACCAATTAGAGGAATGCTAATGTGCTGTAATTTTTGCTTCACTGAATCGAATGCCGCCCGTGTCACAGCCCAATCAGTCTCTGGTCGCTTTGCTGGCAGCAGCCTGTTCCAGCTGCAGCGCCCCAGCAGCAACCGCAGAGACCTGTCCATGGATGCTTACGCCGCGTCTTCTCCCCCATCGCCACCGTGTGTTGATGAGTTCGTCCCGCCTGGTGATGCGACTGAATTGCTGGCCTGCGAATATGCTCGCGTAGCCTAGCTGGGCAGTGCGCACACTACGACCTGCAAAACCAGGTCGGGCTTAAGAACTATACACCGAGTTACGTCTTGCACATTGCAGTGGGTAGCTTCTGGAAATTGCACTGGGCGGACTAACATTTCCGCTTGCGCCAACGGCAGAGTGGAAGTGGAGGCTACACCCTCACGAGATGTGAACACTGATTCAGCTTTTTGAAAACAGGAACTGGAAAAAAAGACGTGGCAGGGCATGCAGGGGGTAGTGGCGGGGGCGGTATGTGGTGGTGGTGGTGGTGTGCGTCGATTAGCTATCCGGGTGTGCTGGTATCAAAATAGGCTGACCGGTTCGGTACGTACGAACTTTATTCCGTATTTCACGACCCTCGTCGTCTGTTGGAGATGGTGGCATACCTCAACCCTATGAAGTTGAGCGGCCATAGCTAAGGTCTTTAAATTGTTATAAGAGTTTAAGAAAAGTGATAGTTTTATGGAAGTGTCATCGCTGGGTGGCTCGTGAAGGGGGTGTCTGAGTTACTTCCTTGTATTGCCTGTAGTTATGATATTACTCCATTGGCGATTTGCTCCTTTGTCGCGATAGTAATGCGGTCTGGCGAGGTCTCGGCAGCGAAATTCAGTCGGGCTCTCCCGTTTGGGAATGGCCAACGTTCGAGGAAGTACTTTTTGACGTCCATACAGACCGTACAATGCATGCTTCCGACTGGAACGATTGTGTGTCGGAGCTGGCGCGAGCCGGGTCGCTTCTTTATGGATCCTCAGTAATTTTCCAGTGGTGAATGATCACTTTGCGTGCATTGTGTAAGGCGAGGTGTATGATAGAAGGTCAAGACCTGCCAGAGAACGAAGGGTGTTGTCCGCAAAGGATTGGAATAGCCATCGACTGGGTTTCAATTGCACTTAGGAGCTTTAGCTTTCTTGTACTGTTTATGGTTGCATGATGGGGTCAATCGGTTGGGAATAGGAAGCTGGCAAAAACTGGCCGCCAGCCTGATCCAGCGCATCTGCATGGACGGCATGGCATGGTGGCTGGCTGCCAACATGCCAAAACCAACCATAAGCAACACGTGGCCCCCAACGAGAGGTCTCGCTGTGGCCTGTGAAATATACTTTGAGGGTCACCCTTTGTACTGTGAACGGTACAGTACAGCAGCCAAAAATAGCACTCGTTCTTTGCTCATATTCTGACCTCGTCAGCTCCTTGGCTCCACACAATCACCGTCGATCGTATGGCGTCCGGGCAACACCGCAAGGAGGTGCCTCAGGGCGGCACGCAGCTCGTCCGCGAACCGGTCGCATAGCTGCGGCGTGAAGTCGACCCTGCATACGACCCTCAGGAGCGTGATGTCCTGGGCGCCGTCGGCCATGGCGTAAGCCGGCACCAGCCAGCCTCGTTTTTCCAGCTCCGCCGAGAGCGCGTACGAGTCGAAGCGAGGCGCCCACGTCTGATCTAGCCGGAAGGCCACGATGGGCACGCCGCCACACCCTGGCGCCCGGCTCAGGACGAGGAGCCCGAGCGCGCGCAGGTGAGCCGCGAGCCGGGTGGCCACGCGGCCGATGCCCTCGAGGACTCGGCGGTAGCCAGCGCGGCCCAGGCGGACAAACTGGTCTAGATGCGCAAGTCAGCCGAGGGGAAGGGGGAGCGGCACGTCTCGGACGGGAGAGAACGGCGTGGGCTCACAGTACTGCGCGAGGACGTGCGACGAGCCGCGCGAGAAGTTCAGCGTGTACGACTCCTGCGTCCGGCCTAGGTAGGAGAGCTGAAACACGAGGTCGCGGGGGAGATGGGCGGCCGAACGCCCCAGCGCCCATCCCACGCCCGGGTAGACCAGGCCGTACTTGTGGCCGGATACGTTGATGGACACCACCTGAAGCGTGTTCTGTCAGCCGCCTTGCAGAAACAACCCTGGCTTGGAAAGGCTCAAATGGTTTTATCTGTTGCAGCCGGAAGTCTCCAACTCAGGCTCCAGAAAAGGGGCCACAAAGCCCCCGCTGGCGGCGTCGACATGGATCGGAACGTCAAGGCCGCGTTCAATAAGGAGACGATTGAGTTCAGCAACGTCCTCGTATTCGCCAGTATACGTCGTGCCTCTAGCCCTTATTATTAGCAGGTTTCAGGGAGGCACCGCAGATAAGGAATCGCGACTTGCAAGATACAGCATATACCGATGGTGCCCTCATCGACGAGGTCGACCGCCCTTGCCGGATCCAGCACGAACCTGCCGTCGGAGCACAGTACCGAGATGACATCCAAGCCGAAATACTGCCCGGCTTTCGCCCAACAGACATGGGCAGCTGAGGTGATGATGATGTTGGGCCGCACCTTCCCCATCTTGTCATCGCCCGGCCACGCCGTTGAATTTCGTGCCCATCGCTCCCGCAGGGCCAGAACGGCCAGCATGATGGCCTCTGAGCTGCCCACCGTACTCACGCCCACCACCTCGGCGGCCGCGTGCCGAGGCATGTGGTATAGGTCGGCGAGGATGTGAAGACAGCGCTGCTCAATCCGCGCGACGGCCGGATAGGCCCGGGGGTCCACGAGGTTTTTGGCTAGGTTCTCCGTCATCAGACGGGCCACAATGGGTTCCATGTAGGTGGAGTTGAAGGTGGCAAGGTTGAAGTGCGGGCTGTGGTCCTGGTCGAGCTCGTCACGGAGGCAGCGGTAAACTTGATCCGGAGACCTTTGGGCACGGAGCGTTCAGTACCATCATCCGTCTTGATTTACACAGACAAAAGTCTGTTCTGTAGAGAACATACATAGATCCTTCCTCAAGTTTGGCTTCATCAGCAGCGGCTGAGTTACGATTGCGGTCGTCGATATCCCTAGACGCTGGGCGGTATGCGATTGCCCGGGGAATAGAGTTCCAGTCTTTGTGCGATGAACCCGAGAGACATCCATCCTCTTGTGGGTAGTATATGGGATGATCGGCACTCGACCACGGATATTCTCCTGGAAGCTCTGGTATATTTGAAAGTATGGTCGACTGCGAACCATCGGGAGAGTGTAAAGCTAGAAGGGTCATTCTGACTTGGTAAAGATGTTGTGTACTGTAGAAATGGGGAGAAAGCTGAATGTACTTGTTCGGCCCTTTTATGTGGTTGACCATAACCGATGTCGTTGAATCTGGTTAGTCAGCCAGTGCTATCCCTTCGAGTGCGAGAAGACCCTAGAGATCCCGTGGGGAGTAGAGCCAATCAGCACAAAACTGGTCCCTGGATATTATTGTAGATAGGTTATGGTGGAACAACACGGCGTTACGTCCTACCACGGGTTACACTGGACCATCTCCTGGTTCATGGCGGCTTTGAAGACCACCAATAGCGCTTCAACAATGCTGAAGCTCTGCTGACGTGCTCCTTGTGGGGAGGGGAAGGACCTAGACCATCTGGTATTATCCCATCGAGTGCGGCTGGACTGGAGTGCTTTGAGTGCGTAGTCGTATTGTAAACCAATCAATAGACGCGTTTCCTTTCCATTCCTTTTCTTTTCTTTATATATATACAATTCTATGCAGCCTTGGAAAACCAGAACAAGCTTTCCATCATCCCACGTTAGAGGGTAGGTATGAATTTGCTCGAGGTTCCAGCTGTGGGAAATACTCCATGAGATCAGTGTGTTCAGAATACGCCCAAGAGGCGCACTGTTTTGGGTTGGCATTGATATAGAACCTCGACAGCTGTTCGATGGGATGCTCGGCCAGGTCCGTGAATTCATTGGGCCGAGCATGTTCTTTGCTGGTCGTGACGTCTAAAACTAAGCCCCTTGACCCATCCGTGGTCTTGAGCGATTCCCACGTCCTAGGATCCTGGAATGGCCTCGGCGGTGTCCGGAAGAGCCCTGGGCAGTGCAATGCCAGCGCCTGACACAGGCGCGAGTTTGTCCCAAATAGGCTTTCTAGCGTCCATCCATATGCGAGCATGCCATCAACGAACATGTTGCCCGCAGCCTCGTTCAGCTCTTTGACACGCGAAGAGAGATGGGGTAGTCTGGAGTTGTCAGTGGTCAGCCAATCATGTTTTGTAGATGGACGAAGAAAGGCAAGGTACTTGGCCTCGAAGAACTCTATGAAGATATCCACATCTTCTTTTGTGAGAGCCTTCTCCCAGCTATTGCCGTTAGCCCGTCAGAACATGATAGGTCACCAGAGGCGGATCACATACTACCAATTCACTCCGGTGCCCAGCTCAAGCAAAGAAGCAGGCCCACACCTCTCAAGCAGTTTTATGTAGTTCCGGCCGCGTCTCCATTTATTCTTAATCTCGTTGCAGTCCACACGTAGCTGCTGCGCTATGGAGAGCACCGCGACGTTCTGCCGGGTCTGCCCGGGCGCCATAATCAAGTCCTGATCTTTGACAACCTCGATGTCGTGCGCCAGGAAAACCAAGGAGATCCGGCCGGCGCTCTCGAAGCGCTGGCTTTCCTGGTCAATATGCTTGATGCCCGTCAGGAGGCGGGCGATGCGCGTCTGAGCCGGGTCGGCGTCGCTGAAAATGCAGTGGCTGTGTGTTGACCAGAGGTTTCGGTAGAAGGAGGCTGGCTGACGTGGGGCATTCAACACGCCATCCACCACGCGCAGGAGGTTCTGCAGTCGCTTCGGCGTAGGGGCACGATCCTTGAGGAAGAGCAATGGGTCCTGCGACTCCTTCGTAAGACGCGACTGGCCATCATGTCCAACCCAAGTTCCGACAATCCCAACCGGCCCCCCCGCGCCAACGAACGGCTCTGTCGTGTCCTGGACTGATGGTCCCGATCCAGTCATATGGGAGGCTCGGGACTTGGCTTTCGAGCTGGAGAGCAATATGGATATGTTCTCGGCAGACCCGCGAGACAGAAAACTCCGGAATGAGGATAACAATCTCTATCGTCGCCGATGCTTCTCAATGAGGGTGTGCAAAGAGGAAACCGGCATGGCTGGCGCCAGAGTTGATCATTGACATACCTGCGATTGGACAACGTCTGCCGGTGACGAGGCATCTAGCGCCTCGGCTAGGCTGTGTTCACGGAACAAGTCCATTCTTATCATTGTATCGACTGCACAAGCTAGCCATGGCATGCGAATCATCTCGTGCTACGTTGTTTATTTAAATGACCGGCGTGATTAACCCAGTTGACGACGACATATCAAGAGAGGGACGGGCCACCCCACTGACGGGACGATACGTTCGTTTCCGGCTCCCGCCTTCCACTTTTGGTCCCTGCAGAAAGTCCATCGCCCACAATTACAAGCCAAGCGCGACCCAAGCGCTTTTTTGCTCGCAGCTGGAATCAAACCAGCCCCCCCTCTGCGATGGAGAGGAGTTGCCAGACGCACGCCACTGCGCCATGCTGGCGATCACAGCACTGCTTAAGATGACGTTCTGGATTTGTACCGTTGTACTCCGTAATCGAGGAGAAGAGCTACCTAGGTGGGTATTATTTATGTGCCTAGTGTAAGCAGCGTTTTGCCCGTGCGGTCCAAATGCACTTTGTTTTTTGATATGGTACCTGTCCTCGCCGCATTGACTGAAACATTCCAGGGTCACTATGCATGGACTGTTGATGTATGGTCGTCGTCAATATTCGCTGGGCGCATCCTATCCGAGCAAAATAAGTGATGGCAGGCGAGTATTTAAACATGGCCATTGCGGAATATGGACAACGACATGACGACGAAGCAGCAGCATCAGCGATACAGTATCCATATGAAAACAATCTACTATCGGCCTTTCCTCTTTATTTGTTCTTGAACAAGATGTCTCTCTCTCTCTCTCTCTTTCTCTTCTCCCTCGGTCCTCTCTTTCGCCGACAAAAACGGCTTTGCGGGCCGCGCGCTGACCTGTGCCGCAGCCGGCCTTCACTGCATCCCTCGCCCGCAAGGATATCCGCCACGCACTGGACCTTGCCTCGACTTGCGGCGCCCGGCTTCCCGCACTCGAGGTGGTCGACGGCCATCTGACGGCGGTGGAAAGGCTGAAGCACGAAAAGGGCGACTACGTAGGCATCTATGGGATTTTGCGGCAGCACGCGGGGCTTACTTATGAGAACTAATGATCGGCAATCAGTGTATGGTCACTTAGCAGCATGATGAGTGCGGAATACGGATACGGATACATGCTGTTGGTGTGAACAGGCTGATCAATCGGTAGCAGTGATGATGATGGATGCAAGAACTAGGTTAGGCTAAGTGGGCTGGAGGAGACTGGAAGACCCCTGGGGCCGGCTGGCAAGACAGCCGTGGGCACCCCTGGGCACCTGGTGGCGCCCGGGCCCCAACAGTTTGTATAACGCGCAGCGCGGCAGAATTCTGGGCGGTGTGGATACCCCTCCACTCCACTCATCTGGCCAACCTGCGCGCCCGTGCCAGTATTGGATAATCTATCCCTCTGAATATCATCAATTTGACCCCTACCTGACGTAATTATGCTACTCACCCTTGTGAGACCAACACATACATACATAGTTCATTACGCCCCAGCTGAGCTATGCAGGCCTCATGCGGTTATTTACATGGTCTCTATCCGTACCACCGTCTATATCCTTGTCTCCCCAAAGGGATGCATGACTATAGTGATTTTGGCATGGTGACCTGGTCAGCGTGTCTTCCGAAGGGCGTACAGAGTACCACATAATACCTAGGTAGTAGTCTGTACGGCTTCGGTGCTTGACTGCCCAGTGCGGCCCGCTTTTGGTGTCCTAATAGCTATGGCCTTGCCGGGATCTAACCGCCGACGGAGGTCGTTATCTTCACTGCCGACGATGCGTATAATAAGACCATGGCCACCGTTTCCCTAGACCTCCAGCTCGACCAACGGCCTTCTTAACCTATCACCGAGCCTCGTCGCCAGCCTGTAGCACCGTCTTCAGCGCCATGCCCGGATCCCTCCAAGTGAGCGGCGCAGCCGAGCGCCAACTCGCACACCGCGAGAAGGACCACGTCGCCGGCCATCCCATAACAACCCAGGAGCCCACCGATCCCCCCCCGGATGGCGGTTTTCACGCCTGGGCCCAAGTCGTGTCGGGCCACCTCGTCGTCGCCCTGACCTGGGGCTACGCCTCGAGTTTTGGGGTGTTCCAGAGCTACTACGAGACGACGCTTCAGGCGTCGCCCTCGGACATCTCCTGGATCGGCGGCTTCCAGGTCTTCTGCCTGCTCTTCGTCTCCACGCTGTCCGGGCGCGCCACCGACGCCGGCCTCGCCCGGCCCGTCATCGCCCTGGGCGCTGCGCTTCTCGTCCTCGGCACCTTCATGACCAGCCTGGCGACCCAGTACTGGCAGATCTTCCTTGCCCAGGGTCTCTGTATTGGGATTGGCCAGGGCCTGATGTGGCTGCCTAGCGTGACTCTCATTTCGACCTACTTCGTGCGGCGCCGCGTCTTCGCCGTCACTGCCGCCGCCACCGGGACGAGCACCGGAGGCATGATATTTCCTGCCGTGATCCAGCACCTGACCCCCAAAATCGGTATGTTACGAGCTCGACTAGGCCGCGCCCGGGAGGAGCAGCTCTAACCCGACCACCCCCCTTTAGGCTTCCCGTGGGCTGTGCGCTCCATGGCCTTCATCGTACTCGTCATGTCGATTGTTATCGTGGCCCTGATCCGCACCCGGATCCCTGCGCGTAAATCGGGCCCCTTGGTGGAATGGGCCGCATTCCGGGAACCGTCCTACATGCTTTTCACCTTCGGCATCTTTCTTCTATACTGGACCCTCTATTTCGCCTTTTTCTATGTAACTTTGTCCCTCCCCTCCTGTCGTCCAGGCGGAACAGTGGAGCTAACGCCTTGCCAGATCCAAGTCTATGCCGTCGAAGATCTGGGCCTATCGCAGTCTGACGCCGTTAACTTGATCATCGTCATCAACGCCTGCGGGCTGCCAATCCGAGCGCCGTGTGGTTACCTGGCGGACCGCTTCGTCGGGCCGTTGAACTGCCTGATCCCATGGGTCGGGCTCTGCGGCCTTCTCATGTTCTGTTGGGCCGCCGTAGGCACCGTTGCCGGACTGTACGCCTTCGCCGTCTTCTACGGCCTCGCTTCCGCCGCTGCCATGGGCTTGTTCGCCGGCACGGTGCCGTCACTGACCAAGGACCTGGACAAGATTGGCACCCGCGTCGGCATGATCATGACTCTTATGAGCTTGGGTCCCCTCACCGGCCCATCAGTGGCCGGCGTGCTTATCGCGCGGACCGGTGGTCGTTATTGGGCCGCACAGACTTGGGCCGGCGCGTCGCTGTTGTTGAGCACGGCGGCGTTGATTGGGGCGAGACTCTACGCCTCCGGTTTGAAGTTAAAGGTTAAGATGTGACTGTCGGAATCACTTTATATGCGTAGGGAATATACCTCGTAGCAGTAGTACTACTAAAATACGGTAAAAGATCGTTATATATTCTAAAGGATAGATGTGGTGTTCTGGGTGGCTATTTAGGTATAAGATAGCGCCCTGCGGCGCTAACTTTTACCCAGCCGGCCCGGCAGTAGGTGCCGCCGAGTGGGGCTCGCAACACTAGCAGTCTTTTACTACTAGAACTGCCAGCCTATAACAGGCTAAATATATTAAAATGTTACGGTCAGCTATCCGACAGTAGGGTCTGTTAATAAAAGTTAAGGATTGACGTTTAAGAGGGTAATATCGGGACGTAATACTAAGTCGTAAGCTATATTGTAAATCGGTAGTTAAAGGCTAAGATGATTAGTCTTAAATTTAATAAGTATTCGTAATAAGGATAAGCTAAAAGTATTTAAAAATTAATATAAACTTAATTATTAAAGAGCTCTAGAAGTCTAACTATAAGCTAGGCTTAGGTTATATTATATATAAGTCCTAAATAGTTTCCTTATCTTATTATTAATTACTAATTAGGTATTAGTAAGCGCTTAGTAATTATTAATAAGCGTTTAGTAGTTCTTACTAAGCGCTTAGTAGTCTAAACTATTTATTTAGTTTTATTTTATTATTACGTAACCTATACTATAGTTCTTTTATTCCTAATTAAGTCCCTATTATCTCCCGTGATCCTGTAATATAAATATCTTATTTTAACCGCCCGACTCCTAAGTAGGTCGGTTAACTATTATTCTTACGTATAAGTTATAATACAAAATAGTAAAAGTAATAAATAACTACAATAAAGGTTAAAAAGCTTAAAACTATACTCTTTTTCGTATATATAATAATTACTTATAATTACCGCTCTTTTTTACGTAATCCCGCTACCCTAATTAAGACTCCGTCGGCCTAATATTATCCGCGTTTTTTTTTCCCTCGTTATTTTTTAACGACCTATCCTTTTATATATATCGTTATACTTATTACGGCTAGCTAGTCGTAGTGAAGTTTATATTAATAAAAGTCGGGGCTGCGATATTTATAAATAATAATCGTTATAAAAATAGCTTTAGTAAAGCTATTATTTATAAATTATAAAATAAATAAGGCTTTGATAATTAATTATAATTTTATTAAATAAGTTTTTAATAAAAATAGCTAAAAGTGATCGTGAGATTTAATACGAAATTAATTATTAAAAAAATTATAAAAGTTATAGACGTAAGCTTAGCTTAAGTTTATATTATATATAAATCCCGTATATTGTTAAATAATTCCTTTATATTTAAGACCGATATTATAAAATCGGTTTTTTAAAAATAAACCGATTTTTATTTTATTAATTTATATTTAAGGACTATTTATTATTTATTAATCCTTTTTATTATTACGTAACTTTTTTATAATTCTTTTGATTCGTTAAGGTAATATATATATTTTTATTATTTAATTATATATATAGCGAGGTAGCCGCTGTAAAATAGCGGAGTAAGTTTTTAATTTATTATATATATTAAATTGTAATATTAAATCTTTTTTTTAAAAGTCTAGTCTCGTAAACTTATAAATAAATATTTATAGCTTAGGTTAGGGCTTATTAAGTTATTAATTTATTATTTTTTATAATATTAATATTATATTAAATCGTATAAAAAAATTAAGCATTAAAATAAAATTTAAAAAATAAAAATAAAGAATCGTAAATGTTTAATATTTTTAAAATTTATTAAAGCTCGTCCGGTTAATATCATTATATTTTATATTTATTATTTTCGTATTAAAGTTACGTATTTATTTAATAAAAGGTCTTTTTATTATCGGATTTATATAAAAGCGAAGAAGCTTTATAATAAAATATTAATAATATTAATTTATAAATTAACTTTTTATTTTTTATTATATTTATAATCGTTAATAATTATAATTTAAAAACTTAATATTTAATAAAAGAAATAGGATAAAAAAAAAAGAAAGCGGGTAAAGAACTTTTAAAACTTTATAAAGAGTTAGCCCGTTTTTAATTATTAATAACGACTATTATTAATCGTTTATTTTATATTTAAAAGATTTAAAAGTTAATATAGGATTATTAAATTAAGACTTTTTTTTAAAGGATATAAGAAATAGATAAATCCGCTATTTTAAAATCTATATTAAATATATATAAATATAAAATAGTTAAGGAATTATAATTTATATAGGTTTTTAATAATATAAATTAGTCCTTTTTTAAACTTAATAACGAGTTCACATCTTTAAAATTACTAATTCCGTTTTTTAATAATTTTTAAAAAATTACTAAGAGTTTTAAAAATTTATAATAAGTTTTTATATATTATTTTTATATCCATAGTTTTTTTATTTAATAAGATATTCTTATTATTTTTTTTAAATTCGGTAATTAATAATTTATTTAACCTCGTACTCCGGTTTATTAAATTCGATAATAATATAATTTTTTATATATAAACTTTTAAATATTAACTCAAGGAGTAAAATATAAAACATTAAATAGTATTATATTATATTTAAAAGTTTTAATTTAAATTAATTAATAAAACTTTTTTAATAATTTTAAAGGGTTTAAGTTTTTTATAATTTAATTTATTACTTAGTCGCTTCGTTTTAATATTATAGCGAAAAAGGTATACGCTATTTTTTTTTTAAAAATTAATTTATTAATTTTTAATCTATCGGTAACGTATATGCATAGCGAGTCGCTTATTATAACGAGTCGCCTATTTTTAAATACCCTCCTGCTATTTATATAAATTAATTAAGTTATATCGTATGAAATTAATTAGAACTATTTACTAACCTCTTTTTTAAAAGTCTTTTAAACTACTTAATATATTTATATATTATATTTAGTTTTTTTATAATTATTATATTACCGCCCGCGTAATTTAACTTTTTTTATATAAATATCTTTTTAATATATATTTTCGCTTTTAATATTAATAACCCCTTTCTTTATTTAAATTACCTCGGCCTTAATAATATTAAATAAACTTTTAAAACATAGTTATATTTTTTTAGCTTTTTAATATTTATTTAATATCTTATTTATTATATAAAGCCCACGGTACTTAACTTTAATAAAAGCTAGTTTATATATTAACTTATTAATATTTTTAATTTATAAGTTAATAACTTCGTATAAATATATTAATAAGCTATATTAATAACTATAAATCCGTTTCTTAAATAAAATAAAGCTTTATACGACGTTATATATTATAATTAATATTTTTAAATCCTAAGAGCTTTAACTATTTAAACGTAAATTAAATAATATTAGCGTTTTTAATTTAAAATTTAAATAGGAAATAACTATTTTTAAATTAAAAAATATAATTTTAGCTTATTTAAAACCAGCTCGTACGTTTTTTTTATTTATTAAAATAAAAAAAATTATTTTAAAAATAAAAAAAAAGTCGTCCTTAGTAATATACGTAATTTATATTTATATTATCTTTTTAATTTTTTTATTATATAAAACCTTTAACGGGCTAAAATAATTAATATTAAAAAGTTAAAGTTTATATAATAAATAAGGAGGTATATAAAAAATAATAATATTACGCTCTTTATAATAATTATTAAATTTAATTAATTTATAATTATTATAATTATTAAGGATTAAAAGCTATTTAATACTTTTTATATAAAACTTTATATATTTTTTAAAATACTTTAGTTAATTTAAACCGATTTTATTTATAATCTATTTATTTTTATTAAAATAAATACGCTATTCGGGGGGGGATTAATTATTAATATATTACGAAAAAAAAAAATATTTACTTTTTATAATAATATATAGAGGTAACGCCTAGTTATCTATATATATACTTTAAATAATAGAAACCTATTCTTAATTATTAAGCTATTTCGTACGAAACTTTTTATAATAATTAAAAGTTATAATAACTTTTATATATAAAAATATTCTTATTAAAAAGCCCGTCTTATTAAAATTATAAATATTATAATTATATATTCCGTACTTTATAATCGTATTTCGTACGAAGGTAAATTAAGTTTAAATAATTATAAAATCCTTAGTTAATACTTTTTAATAATTAATTCTATATCGAAAACGCGTTTTTAATTATAATTAACGTCGTATAAAGTTTTTTATTTATTATGGTCCGATATGCGTCGTATCGTATTTAATAAAAAGGTAATTAGCTATATTTCGTACGTTATTAAATTATAATAAAAATCTTTAATTACGGTTTCTTTTAAAAAAGTCATTTTTTTAAATTTATATAAATTTTATATTAAAGTAATAAGTTAACGTATCGGTTATAAAGTATTATTTTTAAGATATTATAAATAAAAGCTACTTTTTGTATAAATAAATTTAAGTTTTTTTTAATAACTTAAAATATAAAAATAATACGACTTTTATTTAAAAAAGAATTTATAATCGTATATAAAAAAAAAAAGTTATTAAGATAAAAAGTATAAAAAAAAAGGAAAATAGGCGACTTGTTATAATAGGCGACTCGCTATGCATATACGTTATATTTTTTTATATATTATTATATAAACTTAAGGTTTAAAAAGGCTTTCTTTTAAATTTTCTTAAATTTATTTACGTTTACTACGGCTTTTATAGCCTATAGTCCTTTATATACTTCTTTATATATAATTAATTAAAATCTATAATTAAAATAAAAAAAGGATTTTTTTATATTTTCGCTAATTACGTTATTATATATAAATTAAAATATTAATAATAATAATACCTAATTATTTTAGTCGTAATTTATATAATAGTAGAGGTATATTTTAAAAATCTAATTAATTTTTTTTATTTATTTATTAATTTATAAATAAAAAAAAGTCGATAATTTATAATTTATATCGAGTTATGAAATTAATAATTTTTAAAATTTAGCGGTAAATAACTTATCTTTATTAAAAACTATTCCTTTAAATAAACTATAGTTAATAATAATTATTTTAAAGAAAATATATATTAATTCTTTAATATTACTCGCTTTTTTATATAATATAAAATAAATAAACTTAGTAAATCGGTTAATAATAATTAAAATATTATCGTATTATATATTTATAAATAGTTTTTTAGACTTTAATAATTTAATAATAAAGTCTTAAGAAATTAAGTATTATACTTTTAATAATATTAGTAATAGTCATAGCTTTTTATAAAGTTTATAAAGGCTATTTTTTTTTTATATAAATATCGTAGTTTTTAATAACTTCGGTAATTTTTATTTTTATAATAGATTTATTATAATATTATCGAATTCGTTTTTATATTTTTATAATACCTTAATAACCGTATATTTAAATATTATAAACTTTTATAATAAACTTAAAAATTATCTTTTTAAACAGGTTAATTTTAACTTTTTTAATTATTATAAAAAGTTTTATAATAAATATAAAATTACTATTATCGTTATATTTAAAAATTACTTATATTTTTTTAAAAACTATTATTTTATAATTAAATTGTTTATTAAAAATATTTATTTTATTATTATTTAAACCTTTTTAATAAACGATTCGGAAATTAAATTTAAATAAAAATTCGTTTTATTTAATTTATTATTTATTTAAATTTTTATTTATTATAAAGTTCGTAAGGTTTTTATAATTTATATAAATAATAATTTATATTTAATTTTTAAAAATTATAGTTTTTATTTTTTAAAAATTTTAATTATAATTATTAATTTTTTATTATAGATTTATTAATTTAGTTTTATTTTATAAAAGGCTTTAAAATAAAATATATAAAAATAAAATTTCTTTTATTAATTTTATTATTTTAAAACAGTTTTTATAATAAAGTCCGAAGCGTTAGTCTCGATTTTAAATAATATTTAAAAGTCCGGAATTATAATAATTAATTCTAAAATAATTAAGTCTTTAACTTTATTAAAAACTTTTTTATATTTTTTATTTTAAATAAAAATAGTATTTTTTTTAATTAAATTATTAAAAGGTTTAATAATATTAATATAGTTCTTAAAGAATCGTTAATAAAAATTAATAAATTTTAAAAATAACTATACGTTTTTAATATTAATAAAGATAAGCTAGTTTTTAATTATTATTATTTTAAATATTTATATATAGATTTATTTTAATATAATTATATAACTAAAGAAATCTATTTTTTATATATAAAATTCGTATTTATTAAGCTTAATAAAGAGTTTTATATTTTAAAATTTTTAAAATATTATATAAACGTATTTTTTATATATTTTAAAATTAAAAAAAAGATAAGGATATTATTAAAATAAACGATTATAAAAATATTAATATACTTTTTAAATACGTAATTAATTATTATTTAAAATATAATAGGTATATTAATAAGTTTAAAAAATATAACTAAATACTTATAAAATCTTTTATAAGTTCGAAATTTTATTTTTTATTTATTTTTTTTTAATTTTAATTTAATTAAATACTTTTTTAAAATTTATTATGATAAATTATTAAGCTCTATATAACATTTCTTTAAATTTTATAATAAAAAATAATAAATAATAATTTTTTTTAATAATTTTATTAAGTGTTTTATAATTAATTATAAATCTAAGCTTTTTTTTACTTTTTTTAAATATAAAAAAGATTAGTATTTTTATTAAAAAAGATAATAATTTAATATAACCTTTTTTAAATTTATTATTAATATACTTATCGAGTTCGTTATATTTAAATAAATTTATAAAATATAATAAATAAAACTTAAATTATATTTTCTTTTTAATTTAATTTTTATATTTTAACTATTATATTTTAATAATTTTTTTTTTAAAACGAATAGTTTTATATAAATCCGGTATTTTTTAAATATAATTTAAAATAAGTCCGATTTTTAATCGTCCGTATTAAATATAAATATTTTAATAAGTTTTATTATTTTAATAAAAACGATATATTTAGTTTATTTTTATTTATTAAATATTATATAAAACTCGTTTAAATTTTTTTTTTAAATTGTTTAATAACTAAATCTTTTGAATAATATTAATTAGTTTTTTAATTTATTTATAAATTATATTTTCGTAATTATAAAATTCTTAAAATAATATTAATATTTCCGATCTTTATAATATTATATTTTAATTATTTTAATTAATTATTAATATATATTATAAAATATATAATTTCTTAATTAATATATCCGTCGTTATAATTAATTTTTTTTTATTTTTTGTAAAGTATATAAGTTCGTTTTCTATATTTATAATAATTTATATTTATTCATTATTTTTAATAAAATAAAAGGTTTTTAAACGCTATTATTAATAATAGCGTTTATATCGTATCCGTTTATTTAAAATTTAAATTATAAATATTCTTTATTAAAAAATATTATAAAATATAAAAACTTATTTAGTTTAATTATTTTTTATCGTTTTTTTATAATTAACGTATTTAGTTTTTTAATATTTCGAAGGCTAATACCCGTCCTTTTTTTATAAATTATTTATAATTAATTATTAAATTAAAACGCTTTTATTTTTTAATAAATAAATATAATACGTTAATAATATTATAAATATCGTTTATTTCTTTATTAATAAGTTTTTTTTTTAAAAAATAATTTATAATTTCTAAATATTTTAATATTAAATTATATATTTAAAATATATTAGTTATATAAATAGTTTTTTAAATCTTTAATAAGCTAATCTAATTCTTTTTAAAAGCTTATAAATTCTTATCATTTTAATTATTTATTTAAATCGGTTTCTTTTTTAATAGTAAAATCGTTAATATTAAATAGTATTTTATAATCGATTTTTAATTAAATACGTCGTTAAGTAACGTCGTAAGGTTCGTTCGAGTTATAAAATAATTATTAATTTATTAATTATTTATAATTTAATATATTAATATTATTTAAAAAAGGGTTATAGTATAGTCCCTTAATATTAAATTTTATAAATATATTATCAAGAGTTTCTTTATTTAAATTATCTAATTTAACGCTTTTTTTAAACGTAAAAAAGTTTTATTTTAATTAAAATATATCGTCTTTTGTTATTACTTTAAGCTATTTATTTATTTATTATTATAAAATAATAAAAACCGTTTTTATAATTAAATATTAATATATATAAACATCTATCGTATAATAAGCCTCGTTTAGTTTTTTAATATATTATTAATAACGTTTTTTTAATATTTAAAATCTATAAATTAAATATATAATATTTATTTCTTTATTAATTTTACATTTTAATTAAAAAAAGTTTTCTTTTATTTTAACTTTTAATCGTTTTTAAAATCGTTATTAAAATAAAGCGAGTATTATTTTTATATTTAATTCTTTTTTTTTAATAATTGGCTAATTTTATAATAATTAATTAAAATATAAATATAGTTTTTATTATAATTTTTTATTATTAAAAAGCGCTATTTATAATATTAAATTATTTTATTAAATATTTATTATATTATATAAATAAATTTATTTAAAATCTATATTTTATAAACTAAAATCTTATTTTTTAATTAAAATAAGTCGTTTTTTTTTTAATTACTATCTTTTTTTTTAATTTATTTTTTATTATTATAAAAGTTTACGCTTAGTTAAGAAAATTAATAAGTTATACCTTAACTATTTTATATATTATTAATAATATTTAGATATACTTTTTATTATAGTTTTTAATAGTTTTAAAACGTTAAACTATTTTTTATTTATTTATTATAATAAGGGTTTTATTAAAAGGTTTTTTAAAATATTATTTCAATTATTTTTTATTATTTTAATAAATAAAGTAATTATCGTCGTAATATATAATTTAAAAAGTAATTTATAAAATATTTTTTTAGAAATAATATTAATTTATTTTTTAAAAATAAGTCGTTATTAAATTCGTTTAAGTTATTTATAATTTTTAATTATATATTTTAACTTATTATAATTATAATATTTGAATTTTTTCTTAATAGGATTAGTTTTATTTTGTTATATTAAAGTTTATAAATCCGTTATATTATTTATAAGCGGTAGTTTATTAAGGATTATTATTCTTATTATAATAGTACTTTTAATTAAAATTATATTAAAGTTATTATTAATATTTATATTTTAAGTTAAGTTTTATTATTATTATTTTTTTTTTCTTTTTTTCTTTTTTTATAAAAGCGGTTATCGATTTTAATTATGAGTTTAATATATTAAAAGAAATCGTTTAGTTCGTTAATTTTAATAAATTCGTTTTTAACCTTATCTTTTAATCTTTAATAAAATATAAAAATCTTAATATTATTAATAAAATTAAGTTAAATATTAAAACGTTTAAACTTAACTAAATAGTCTTTTATTAATTTAATTTATTTAAATTATAATATATTATATTTAAATTATTATTTTTTATTTAAATTTTAAAAGAATAATTTAAAAACTTTTTTAAATTTATCGAAATTATAATAAATATTTTATATTTTAATAAAATATTTATTAAAGATTTCGTTTTTAAAATACTTTTTTTAAAAAGATTTAAATTATTTAAAAACTCGTTTTTTAAAAAAGTTATTAATATATACGACCTTTTCGATTTTATTATTAAAATCCTTTTAATAAAAGTTTTAAAAGTTTTTAATTTAAATTAAAAATCTTTTTAAAATTTTAAAAGTTTTATTAAAAATAATAAATATATTAAATTTAAATTTTTATAATTATTTATTAAAAAAAATAATAATATTAATAACCTTTTAAAACTTATTTATTTAATTAATAAAGTTTAAAACTTTTTAATATTTATTTTTGAATTTTTTAAATATAATATTAAATATTTTTTATATTTTAATAATATTACGGTCGTTTTTAATTTAAATTTTTATTAATTAAATAATAATAATATTAAAAAAGTTTATTAATTTTTTATTATATAAAATATTTTAATTAATAACGTAACGTATTTAAATATATATTATTTTATTAAAAACTATATTTTTATTAAAATTACATTTAATATTAAATATTTTTATATTTTTTTTAATTTAAATTAATTTAATATTTAAAATTTAAAGTTTTTTTATTTTTATTTAAAAAAAATTTAATAAATATTATTCGTATTATTTAATAAGTTTTTATAAAATCGATTTATTAAATAAAAATAATTAAAATATTATAGTTAATTAATTATAATAAGGTTTATATTAATAAAAATCGGGGCTATAATATTTATAAATAATAGTCGTTAAAAAAATAGTTTTAATAAAATTATTATTTATAAGTTGTAAAATAAATAAGGCTTTAGTAATTAATTATAATTTTATTAAATAAGTTTTTAATAAAAATAATTAAAAGTAATCGTAAGATTTAATATAAAATTAATTATTAGAAAGCTATAGAAATTATAAATATAAACTTAATTAAAATTTATATTATATATAAATTTTATATATTATTAAATAGTTTTTTTATATTTAAAATTAATATTATAAAATCGGTTTTTTAAAAATAAATTAATTTTTATTTTATTAATTTATATTTAAAAACTATTTATTATTTATAGGTCTTTTTTATTATTACGTAACTTTTTTATAATTCTTCCGATTTATTAAAATAATATATATATTTTTATTATTTAATTATATATATAATAAGGTAGCCGTTGTAGAGTAGCGGGGTAGGTTTTTAGTTTATTATATATATTAGGTCGTAATAATACTATTATTATTAATAAGCCGTTTAAAGGCTCTATTTAGTAATAACTTTATTAACTTATTAGCTAAATTCTTATTTTTATAAATCTAGCAGATCTTAATAAGTTTATACCGTTTATAAGACTACCGTAACGCTATTATATTAATTATAAAGCGCTTTTTTTTTATTATATTTAGTTTAACAAGGTATTTATGTAGTAAATATAAATTAATATAAATAATAATAAGGATCGTGGGCAGTTTAAAATAGCTTATAATCTTTTTAAAGGTTATAAAGATAGCATAGGCGATATTTATATTAACTACTATTTTATAAATTTTTAACATAAATACGCTCTAAATAACGCGTTTTAACTTTACTAAACTATAATAAACGACGTTACTATTAATTTTAAATATATCGTTAGCCTCGCTAACCTTATTTATTAATATAATAATGTATCTTAGCTATAATAATAGATTATTATATTAATAAAAGAATTATTAATAAAGATAAATAATTTCGTAGTAGCTAAGTCAATAAGGATAAATATAAGCCCTTAATTAAGAGATTCAGTCTATTACTATAACTAAAAAGTAATAAAGTAAATAAAAAGTAAAAATAAATAAAAGGGTTAATAAATAGTTAATGAATAAATCGATTATATTAATAATAAATCTAACTATTAAACTAAGAATAAAAATCTTCTATATATAATCTAATAATTATTATATATAAGTATATTATTACGACCTAATATATATAATAAACTAAAAACCTACCCCGCTACTCTATAACGGCTACCTTACTATATATATAATTAAATAATAAAAATATATAAATTACCTTAATAAATTAAAAAAACTATAAAGAAATTATATAATAATAAAAAAGACTAATAGATAATAAACGGTTTTTAAATATAAACTAATAAAATAAAAATCGGTTTACTTTTAAAAAACCGACTTTATAATATCGATTTTAAATATAAAAAAACTATTTAATAATATATAAAACTTATATATAATATAAACTTAAGTT